AAATCTTGGAAGTCCTAACAAATTAATATTAAATAAATTAAATACTTCATAACATTTTAAAAAAAATATTACCCCCACGCACTATCGAGACTATTTTTATTTGCACATGTGCAATTATAATTTTTATTTTCAGTTAAACTACTAGTCCCTCCTATTTATAATAATTGTCGTTTTCAGAAGTTGCACAGTAGTTAAGAATTTTTTTTGTCAGTAATAGCCCTCATTAATGAAGACAGAGATGAATGTCTTGAGAAAAAAATGAAGAGTATATATGAAAAGACGTGGTGTATTTATTAGCTAAATTAGGGTAATAGTGGAAAAATACGTATAAAAGATTCAAAGCGTCATGTATTTGGTTAATGATTGATAAAACCAAAATGACATTTAAAAGAATAGGAGGTAGTATTAATTAATAAATATATCAAATATGTTAACTTCTTCTCTCACTTTCCTCCCTCTACTTTTTTTCTCTAGGTCTGAAATTAATATCCACTCCATTTACACATCTTCGACTGGTTAAGACTCTGCCGCGATTCTCTCCAATGGATGGCAGGTCAGGTCACGGTCGCTTTCTTTAAGCAAATCTGATGAAAATACATCCATATTTCCGGCTAATTTCGTTTTTGTAAAGCACCACTTATTAGTCTTCCAACTTCTTCACGCCGACAAACTCTAGTATGCCATTGACATCGTGTCTGACGCGCTCGATTCGCTTCCTATAGCACTCGAATTGCTTTTCAAGACTGCATCAAAGCCTGTGCTACCCTTGAGGCAGTGTCGTGGTCTAAAGATGAGAAAAAAAAAAGATACTAACCCTGATTTCCCTTTCTTAACAATGAAGAGTAGAAGGAACGCCTTGCTAGGGTTTCTTTGGCTAAGAGTGATTCGTATGAGGAGATGATTCACGGGTTAATACTCTCTGCAATTCACAACCACACAAACATTGCCTTCGCGCAGGCATTCGTGGCGAAGCTGTTGAGGGATTTTTCATCCAAGGAGTTTGCCAAGAAGGTTTTGGATAAAGCTTTTGAGACGATTAAGAAGGTTGTGAAGCAGTCACTGGAGGAGTACTCTAGTCGTGATTTTATTTATGTTGTGGAAGATTTCAATGTTTATTTTATGTTTATTAATAATTTAAGTATGAAATATAGAGAGAACTTTGATGAGTATTTAACTGGAGCAGTCACTGGAAGGTTTATTTCCATGCCAAGTGTTCAGATCAACTTTATTCTAGACAACAAGTGAATTAACTAAAATGAAACTTTGATGAGCATCATGAGGAATCTGACTGAGGGTGGAACTTGAAGAGATCTGAGGAAACTTAAACTTATATAATCCATGTTCAAGGGTGCCTTGAAGAAGTGTCTGGCCTGTTGAATGTGCCTTCACAAAACAAAAAGTAGGGTGACATGAAAAAAAGGCTTGATTTGTGTTGAGCAAATTGGCTCACACTAATAGGGTTTCTTATAATTTCAGGCACATGAAGAAGGTTTTTAAGGAAAAAAGACATATTAGCAGTAGACTAATTATAGAATTACCAAAATGAGAGATGTCCAAACATGTCCCATTGTCTATTTAGACCCTGTCATTGCCTTGATACCAGCAGCATTGTTGATATTGCTTAAGTAATAAGTGACACGATTTTTGGCTCCAAAATCTGGGTACCAACTGGTATCTTGATAGTCAACATTCATTTGCACCAAGTTGACAATAGGTTTGTTACCATAGTTCTGGCCAGAATTTCTATTGCTGGGAGGAAAATTAGATCTCTTCGGTAGTAGCATCTCTCGGCAGTATGATTAGCGTAATGATAGATATGGCACCTTGTTTTTCCATTGTCATAGCCTTTTTCCCTTCTTCTATAAGAGTTTCTACCTCTGCCCCTATTTTCCTGTCCTTGTGACATGTTCCTTCCTCTTTCTTTTGTTGTTTCCACGACCATGATTTTGTGTGACAACATTGTCTAAAATTTCCATTATTAGGGTTGGCTCTAATATGAGTCTCATCATCAATTCTGGATTCAAAGCTTAGATGAATAGGCTTATATTTATTGATGTCGTGGGAACCTTGTAGTAAGAGAGACAAGGACTGGGTTGTACTCTTGAGGTAGACCAGAGAGGATATATAGGAGGTGATTTCTCTCACTAACCTTTTATCCATCTGAACCTAACATGTCACAACAAGTCTTGATTTTGTTGATATACTCCTTCATAGGTAGATTCTCCTTCTTGATGGTTTGAAACTGTAGTCTGTACTATACGGTCTTGGCATGACTCTGGCTGACAAAGGTGGATTCAAGGCACTCCCAGGTCTGTTTAGCTGTTGTAAGGGTACACTCTCAGAAACTGAAGATAGTAGGATGGTGCTTGGTCCACAACAAGTGTGCAAGATTGATGGTCTTTTCTTCAGCTGAAGTAGGGTGTTTGAGATTCGTTGATGAAATATTCCAAGCCATAACCCCTAATGGCAGTGAGAACCTGCTGTACCCATAATAGATGGTTGGTTTCATTTAGCTTCTCACTAATAAACTAAGATTGAAGAAAAAAGGGTTGGTTGGCTTGAATTAAAGGGGTGAGAGGATTCAGATTAGCCATTAGTTAAGAGGATGCAAAGACTACCAAAAAGATAAAAATCAAAGGACGGACCTCATCATGCTCTGATACTATAAAAGGATGTACTAGCTGCCATGCATGGAAAGCAAAGCAAAAGTAAGCTCAAACTAAGAGAGCCACGAGATTACAAACAATATGCATTAAATAAGTGCAGACACACAGTGCAAAACTAGGTTCACCCCTTTATATAGGCAATACTTCTAGGGTTACAAGGAAAAGTGGATAAGTTCTATTATCTAACGATTACAAAGAATCAATGGCTCAAGAGCACCCAACACATGCACCTTGTGCCATAATAGGACAAAAGACTTGAAAAGCTTTAGGATGAGCTGTAAAATGTGCTCAACCATTATGTTGCATGTGGTTAGATGATTTTGTCTTAATGATGATCTGCTAATATATATGACAGGATCAACAACACTTCAACACCTTAAAAATCAACAATTTAATATGGATCACCGACCAAAATGCAATTGAACATGCGCGAATGCACCACATAAAAACAATAAATTCACATCAATGAATACATATATTAATGCAAAACTACATAAAATAACATCAATGAATACATATATTAATGAAAAACTATTTGCAATATATTTTAAATCCACATTTATAACATGCAAAATGATGAACATACACTAATGCTCTCAAATACATTACAACTATTAAACATACAGAAACACTTACTCTACTGGATTATGGTACACCATATAATAAGTTCATCCTCCAAAGAATGTATTCAGTAAACATTGTGATCATGTGAAGCACCTGGGAGACCAACAACCTCCATTGTCCTCCTTCTCGGACGTCGTAGGGCCCCGAAGATCTTCCTGCCCGCCTTCACTATCAAACGAATCACGTGGCTAATAAGCACTAAGACTATTATCCCAACCCACACGATCATGCACCAGTACGCCACATTAGCGCCCGATGAAAGCCACTGTCGACCTGGCGTCACAGCAAAAAGTGCACACATGTACACCAACGTGACGGCTGTGATGGCGATCCACATCATCACTATCAGAATCCACATGAAGAACTTTCGTCTGATCGCCAGCCCACTCACCAGCAGCAGTATGATGCTGAGAGAGGAGATGAAACCTATTGTGTTTATAATAGCAAATAATTCATATACAACATCAAAATTCCGCGCGAATATGGATTCACCGGCCACCTCAGGGTCCTCATTAGGCGCGAGACTTTGTAGTTGTGGGATATTGTTGTCTTGCTGCCATACGCCACTTGGAGGATTGACTATGACTTGAAAAGCTATGGTTGCGATGAGAATGGCCACCACCATCAACGAGTTTTTCATTTCTTGGAACCACTTGTCATGGAGAGTATCCCGCCTTGGAGCTCTATTCGGGTGGGAGGACGTGATAGGTTGTGACAAGGGGTCGAGATCGTTTTTAAAAAATTTCTCGATCTCGTAGTCTCTCGGGTCCCTTTTGGTTCGAATTAGGATGTCGGCTGGTGTCATCTGGCCAAGGTTGGTCGCATTCGCGTCCAATCCGGGAATGGTGGTCAAGAAGCTGATAGTCTGCACAAAGGTGAACGCGAGTAACTTACTATATATATTACTTACAAAAATATGTTGTGCATAAATAACATTCCAAAATTTTGCCCCCAAATAATTATTACGTTACTTAGAAATTAAAAATTTTCATATATATATATATATATATTGTGTATGACAACCGTGAGGACTGCTATTAAATAATTATGCGTTGTGCTACGATTGATTGTGTTTGGTGCTATTTTTAACTAGGATGAATAATATTAAAAATAGCAACACAATTTATATTATTATTTGTGAATGATAGCATCATTTAATATTAAAAATAACATCATACTTAATTAAAAATATCATCAAATACGGTTCTCACCTTAATATATAATTCTCGAATGCATTTAGCTTAAGTGGCAGGCTCGTCGTAGCTTATTTAAAATAAATTTGTGTTTCTTATTGACACATGTTCAAGTTTGGCTTTGACTATTAGATTTGAAAATTACCATAAACTATTTTATCTTTCCTTTTTTCTTAAGTTCCTACATACTACTCTTACATTTTCATATTTAATTTAATTCATATTAGTTATTATAAATATGTTTTATTTTTATTTTTAAAATCTTATAATTTTTTTATTTGTATGTTATTTTATATACGATATATAAAATAATCATATTTTAACAATTTTCGATATGAAATTCATATTACATATATAACACAAAGAACAATTTTATTTATCTTTATAAATAAAACTAAAACTATAATCAAATCAATTTAAAAAAAATAAAATAACAATATAAATTATTTTATAATTTCTATATAATATTTTTTTTTAGTTTTTTGATATCAATAATTTGATACTAAACTTTTCAAAAGTTTAAAATCAATTATCAAATTTCTACAAAATATTGAATTTTATTAATTTGCAAAATATAAATTAACAGATATGATTATAGGTTAATAACTCTGAGGATAATTATTTGTAAGTTTGAAAAAATAAATATAAAATTTAAAATATTTTATGATAGGTTAATAACTCCGAGGATAATTATTTGTAAATTTTAAAAAATAAATATAAAATTCAAATTATTTTCTGAAATGCGTAGATAATGAAATTTTTTAACTATGAATTTTTTCCTATTTAGTTCATATCAATGTATGTTTTATTAACTATGATTTTTTTTTTGAGCGTCTCTCTCCTTGCGAAAAAACCTACCCACTTTCCATCGCCGGTTTTCTCTTCTCTCCTGTAGTTTTGCCTTCCTCGTCACCGGCGAAGTTCGGGCCAGTGGTCGCCCTCGACCGCTCGGCCCGTCCCTGACGTCGAGTGTCTTCAATTTCTCCGCAGGACTGCGTTTGGGGGTCCGTCTGCTAGATCGCGATTGGAGGTTCGTCGGCTTGCTCACGATTGGGGGTCCGTCCTCGGTGGTCGGCGTGGATGCGATTGTGGTGGAGCACCCTCGATTGGAGTTAGATGGTCCTTCCCTGGTTGCCAGCAGGTCCTCGATTGGGCGGGGTTGCACTTGTCGGGCTTGGGCTATTTCAGGTGGGACGGTCCTGGGTCTGGCTTTCCCATTTCTGGTGGGGCTCCCGATCGGGATTGGGTTCTGATCGCCGGTAGATTGAGGTTCAGCGGGGGGTTGGGCTCCCGGTTGGTCTCGGGCTCTGACCACGGGCAGACTGCGGTGGGTTGGGATACGAGGGGTTCAGTTGGCGGGGCGGGACTTTGGCGACTGCGACGTCTTACGTCGGGGAAGCCGGAGTTGTGGAACCGAGAAGGTCTCACCCCCGGTTCTCTAGTGTTGGGGACGGTGGGGTCCGGATCTCCCGAGCTTAACTAGTGGTGTTAGATGAGTTTGGGATATGATGGTGTGGGGAGCTGGCTCGTTGTTCTCTCGAGCGGGGGTGGGTCGATTTGAGATGAGTTCGGGGCTTGGGTTCGGCTTCTGTATAGGCAGTCATGCAGTTTCGGTAGCGGTTCCTCGGGCAGGGGCTCTTGTTGGATCGATTGTTACTCTTCTGGTTTTGGCTAGCTTGGTTGGCTGAGGAAGGGCCTACTCTATATAATTATAGTTTTTAGTTTTTGTCTGGAGTCTGTGTTTGTTTATTATTGTTATGTTCGTTTAGGTTTTGTGTTTTTGTTTGGGCCGTTGGCCCCTGTGAGCTCGTGTGAGAGCGGGTTTTACTTTGTTGGGGGTCGTTCCACTTTACCCTGTTGGAGTCGTCTTAGTTGAGTCTTTGTGTTGTGTGGTTTTGAGTTTATTTTCTAGCGTCGCTAGACTGGCTCTAGGCGGTCTTCTGACCTGTCTTCTCAGTTTTTTCAGCTGTTGGCTGTAATAGTCAGCTAGGGGCTGTGTACTTTGCACATATGTGCGTTTTTTATATATAATATTCTCTATCGTTTCGTGTGTGTTTTTTTTTTCTTATTAAGTTTTAATGTCAAATTTTCTTTTTAAAAATTTAAGAACACTTTTATTTTTTCATTTTGTTATTATATATATGTCAAATTAACCTTGATATTACGATATTCGAATTCACACTCATGTTTTATTTATAAATATGTAATTCTAAAGTACTAATATGTTCATTAGTTAATATTGCATATATAAATGAATTTGAATTTATTATTCAATACTGATTTGAAAAATAAGGAATTAGTAACAAGTTATTCATACAATAAAATATAAATGTGTGTACAATAAAAGGTATTTACTATAAAATAAAATAGTAATCGATATGTTTATCACCTCACTGGTTTAAGAAATTAATTCTTAAAAATAAAAATATAAGAAATAATTATTTAGGATCAAGTACATATGATATTAAAATGATAAACTAACAAGTCACTTGTAGAACTGCCAAATAAAAATATTTATAGTATATATTATATATAAATTATGATATACCAATGAGTTGCCTGTCAAACTGGAATGTAAATTATAAGTTTAGAAAAAAATTAAAATATTTATAATATATGGTACAAACTATGATGACATCAACAAATCATCTACTGAACAATCCATAAAATTATTAACTTAGTGTTGATACCCGAACCAAATGCAGGCCCCTAAAGATCCTACTAACCAGAATGTGATGGTACCCAATCTGACTCGTACGGTTGAATAATTAAAGCCTCCGGATCGGATGGAGAACCAATGCGTGGAATTGTGTACCGAACAAATGGATAAATGTTAGATAAAACTAGATATGCCAAATCAAATAAACAGTAAAATAATTGCCACTTGCGCCCAAATGATTACGAACAAGACAACTAACCACCCATCTGTCGGCACACGTGTTAGCTCTCCATCGTCCACCCATTACGCAGATTCTTGTCGTATTGAATGCGCTTGTGCTTGCCAATAATGGAAATACTTGTACTACAAAGTAATAGTAGCTTGTACCACACAGTGAACAATGTCCAAATGAACTACTGTAAAGGGCAATTAATACCCGACAAAAAGTCATAGGTTTGAACTGTAAAGGGTAATTAATACCTGACGATTGTTCCATCTCAATAAATGAACTACTTCACACTCGAACAGACTTTTAGTTCGGTTCTAGAAACACAAATCTAAATATTTTTACTTCCTAAAAGACGTGACCGTCTTCCTCTATTTTTAAGGATAAATTCTACTTTTTTTGTTGTTCTACTTTGAAGGACATTAATTAGGCGCTAGAAGGAGGGCTCTATTTTTGTTTTGGAGTAATCTCCCACTTGGAAAACACCATCACTAATCAAGAATGTCATCATTAAGCCACGAAGATCCACGTAACTCCTCTGAGGCTGAATTAAAACCATGGCAAGGACCCCAACATCGACTTCGCTACTTTATTCCAAAACCCTAATTTTTTGAGCGGATTTTCGAACCTCTTTGCACAAACTCTTTTGTCACCATCAAATATGCCAAAAACTTTCGGTAAAAAGGATATAAACATGGCCCTAAACAAAGAAAAAAACCATTCCAATCACAACCAACCTTACAATCCCATGATAATCGCCTTAAAAACTTGAAAGAAAAGACAATTGACTGGGTCCAGAGAGAAAAGACTGGGAAAGTCGATCGGAGGGCAGACTCGGCACCAGATCTACAACCCCTTGGGTATTTCACCGTCTGGGGAAGCGAAAAGCTGAAACCGACCTTTGGGAGAAGATATAAATAAGTCGGTCTGTTAGACATGACACCGTAGAGGCCGCGACCTTAAAAATGAAAGTACTTGAGCTGGAAGCTCGAGTGAGATTGGCCCATAGAGTGTCTTCACCACCACCATTGTTCGCGAACAATCTTTTAGTCAACTCGGCCTCACCATATTCCTTCGACATTCTACTTGATCCCTTATCGAAAAAAATAAAAAGACTCCAAATCGGACTTTATGATGGAAGCTCAGATCCTGATGCCCACCTCGGCCTTTACACCTCATGGATGGACCTGCATAGAGCCGGAGATGCCCTCAGGTGCCGCATGTGTCCCTTATATTGGGACCCAAGGCATAGAGGTGGTATCACTCGTTGTTCCCACACTCCATCCACAATTGACAACAACTCAGGTCGGCTTTTTGGTCTCATTTCATTGAGTCCCAAGTATGATCAAAACCAAAGGAATCAATCACGAACATGGTATGAAGGGCCGCAGAGAGATTGAAGGATTATATCTCTAGGTTCAATAAGCGAGTCCAAAATATGGACTCGTTGCACCAGGAGACGTTGTTGGTGTTGGTAAACTCCAGATTAATTTTGGATTCCATGTTTTACTGGTCGTTGTGTGAGAACAAACCTCACATGTACAAGGAGTTTTTGGTGCATGCACAACAATATGTGATAGCCGAGGAGTCCATGTCAATCCCGTCCTTTGACCTACCAAACAGCGCAAACCCAAAGGGGAAAAGCGCAAAATCAGGTTGGGACCTGGAGAAGGACGCTCGAACTGCCAAAGTTTGAGCAGTTCGCGGAAACAACAGGAGAAGGATTTGACAACCAACTATCACATGTTGTATTCGGTAGGAGCCGCAGTCGTGTACGAAGAATTGAAAAACAAATGGAGTATCCCCGACCCGAGACCAATTCGGACAAATGAGGATCAACTCGATAAGTCTCGATACTGTGCATATCAAAAATTCCTACGTGCATAACATCGATCAGTGCTGCAATCTCATTTCAACGCTGCTAAAACTGATCGGAGATTCAAAAGTTTGGAAATTCACACTACACCTGCAAGGAAGGAAGAGGGGTCGAGCAAATGATGGCCAAGATAGCGAGGACGACAGAGATCTTGACACTAACCCAAAGAGAATATGAATCTTCTCTCCTGAGAAATCTAACTTCTAGTAAAGGCAGCCAAGACAAAGCAAGTTACTCTAGGTTAGAAAACGCGATCGTGGCTCGCTAAATCGGTCAAGCAAAAGAGCTAACCGACCCCAACCAAATAGATCATCCCCAGTTTGACTCGTGAATATAAGGCGTAAGGGATCATTTATTTCCCGAAGGAAAATTAAAGCATACGCCACAGGGGCATACAGTGCAGGACAAGAAGTTCACAATGCCGACTGTAAACTGCCCATTTTTCAAAAAAAAATCTGGTCACTTTTTCCAATGAAGATGAGGTGTCGTTCGATCACTCTTATTCAAATGCTCTTGTTCTCATGGTGCCATTCTTTTATATTATAGTGCACAGGAGTTTGGTGGATATCGGGTCCTCTGCAAGTGTCTTATACTTGAGTACCTTCAGAAAAATAGGAATTGATCCCAAGGAGATCCAACCATGCAATGACCAAATTCAAGGATTTGATGTCCGTGATACAATCCTCGATGGTGTGATAACTTTCCGCATCCAGTTCGGGGGAGATGGGCCAGCTAGAAAGACGATTCTGGACACCTTTAAGGGCGTAAATAACGAGAATGGATATAACGCCATCCTGGAAAGGATGGCCTTACACAAAATCTGAGCAGTTATATCTATTTTTAATTACTCTCTCAAATTTTCTACCTTTAAAGGGTTGGGAATTCACTAGGGAGACCAACAAGAAGCTCAAGAGTGCATTATAGTCGTCCTTTTTTTGGAAATAAATGCAATTGAAAATGTTGAGATTATGAAGTCAACTGAATGAAGGAGTGAAATCGAGTTGGTGTCAATTTGAACAGCTGCCACAAGAACAGACTTTGCAAGAGTTCTTGATGACTGATCCCAATCAAGAGTGTCAAGCTGTTTTAAGTCAACCAACATATGGAAGTACTAGCTCGGATGAAATGGACAATGGGTTCGATGTAATTGACAAGCTGGAGCACAACATGCGATTTCTTCCCAGAATAAGAAAAAGAGCCTAAGATGGTAGACCAGATGCAACTCAGAAAAGGAAAGACACTACCCGAACGTCAACCCCCAGCAGCCGCCGGTCCACGCGAACTCGGTCAATTCAACATCCACTATCGACCTCGAACGACCATCAAAGGACAAGTTCTGGAAGACTTCATAGCCAAAATTCACCACTGAAGTGGATGGTTCATTAACGCCAACCGAGTTGGTAGAGGGATCGTTATGGTTAACCCTCAGTAAGGTTATTTTGTCACTAAGCTCGATATTTATTTGCAGCAATTTATAATGAGGCTGAATACGAGGCTCTGCTCTCCAGACTAGTATTAGCTGACTCTATTAATCTGACCCACTTGAATATGTAGTCCAACTCAATGATCCTAGTCAGACAGATCTCTAAGGAATTCGAGGTCAAGAAGCGATGATTGGTCCTCTACCTGAATCTGACTAAGAAAATGAAAACGAAGTTTGAGGATCGAATAGAACAAATAGAACATATGCTGAGATAGAAAATTTACAAATAGAGGCTCTGGCCCGCTTGGCATCAAATGCGGGAATGGAGAATGTGAAATACATTTAGATCGGGCAAGAAGAACCAACAACTGTCTCAAACGGCCAATTGATGACTGTTGAGTTGAATTTATAATCTAATACTCCAAGTTGGACGCGCCTGATAAGGTTCTACTTGAAAACATGCACTCTACCACCAGCCGAAGGAAGCTAGACTTGTACGAACCCGAGTAGCTCGATTCACAATCGTGGGAGATATATTGTATAAACGGGGATATTCGGTCCTATTTGTAAAGTGTTCAGATGAGAAAGAATCTGCTTATGTATTAAAAAAAAAAAATCCATGAAGGAGTATGTGGAAATCACTCGGCAGGCAACGCACTAGTCCACAAAATTATGAGGGATGGATACTATTGGCCATCATTGAAGTGGGATGCTCTGGACCTCGTAAGGAAGTGTGAGAAATGTCGGATTTTTGTACCCAACGTAAACCAACCCCCTCAACCTTTGAAATCTATTTTCAACCCTTAGTCGTTCGCAAAATGGAAAATAGATTTGATCGGTCCATTACTGACTGAAAAATGAGGTGTCAAATGTGCGGTAGTGGCTATTGACTACTTCAAAAATTAGGCAGAAGAAGAGCCATTCATGATAACCAATCAAAAAATGATAGACTTTTTATGGAAGTTCATCGTGTGTCGATTCGTGATTCCATACTCGGTAGTGACTGACAATTTTAGGCAATTTGAGGGAAAGAAGCTCCAATCTTTTTGCAAAGACCTAGATACCAAACATTATTCCTCTACACCCTATCATCCGTAGCCGAATGGAAAAGTCGAGGCCACAAATAAAATTATCAAACAAGGCATCAAATTCAGACTCGAGTCAGAGGATGCTTTGGTCTTACCAAATAATAACTCTGTCATCGACGGGGGAAACCCCGTTCTTCCTAGCGTATGGCTCCGAGACAATGATCCTAGTGGAAATCGGCTTCCCCACCTATCATGTTAAGAACTTCAAAGAAGAGGCGAACTCACAATCCCTAAGCGCCATCTTAGACCTAGTTGAGGAGCTCCGATTGCAAGCCGAGCTGAAGTATGTTGCCTATAAATGTTAAAGTGAAAGATACGTTAACTCTCAACTGAGGCCGCGTACATACCAGGTCGGAGACAATCTTGGACCATTAAAACCTAAATGGGAAGGACCCCACAAAATCAACGAACTACTGCCAAATGGGGCCTATCGGTTAGAGTACCTAGACAACAACCCACTCACGTACCCTTCGAATATTGTTTTCCTTAAGACATACTATTAGTAATCTTGTTAATTAAACATCATTGTACCGGATTTTGGTTTTCCTATTGTGTTTGGTAGCAAAAGTTATCTTTAGAAAAATTTCAGTAAAAAGATCCTCAAAATTCTTGATATGTATGAGACAAGTTGGCGAACTTAGGATTTGTATGTGTTATTATAGAATCGTGCACCAAAACTACTCGGTTAGGCTAAATAACTCAATGAAGCACAGTTAGTGCAGAACCGTGTACCAAGTGTACTCGGTTAGGCTAAATGAGTCGATAAAGCACAGTCAGTGCAGAATCGTATACCAAGTCTGCTTGGTTAGGCTAAATAAGTTGATAGAAGCACTGTTAGTGCAGGATCATGTAGCAAGTCTACTCGGTTAGGCTAAATGAGTCGATAAATCACAGTTAGTGCAAAACCGTGTACCAAGTTTATTCGATTAGGCTAAATAAGCCGATAAAACACAATTACTGCAAACTGTACACCAAGTCTACTCGGTTAGGCTAAATCAGCCGATAAAGCACAACTAGTGCATAACCGTGTACCAAGTCTATTCGGTCCGGTCCGATTTAATTTGAAAACAATGGATAAATACTAAATAGTGATTATTGCTATTTATATATTTAAATTATACTATAATCGTAATATTTTTTTTCACCGTGCATTGTATGGGCCAAGTAGTAGTCAAATATTAAACAAAAACATATCACGATTCAAAATATAAAATAGAAATTTTTACACACAATCAAAATATAAACGGGTAAAAAACAAAAAGCTTAATTTTGTCATACCTCAACTTGCTTATCCGCCACAGCCAAATGCAGGACAGTATTACCCTCATCATCTTTAGCGTTCACTAACTCGGGCCCATATACGGCCCTCACTAACACCTTCAAAGCCTCCAGCTGGTAATATCTCACGCACAAGTGCAAAATGGTTTCTCCTCCGTAAGCCCTTAATAGGGCCGCGTCCGGTTTCTCCTCAACCATCACTTTCAAGACCTCAACACGGCCCTTAACCGCCGCCAGATGAAGTGGCGTGAGCCCGTTCTTATCACGGGCCTTGCATAAGTCAGAATCAACACTTAGCAGGGCCCGAACTATGTCCACGTGGCCTTTACCAGAAGCCAGGTGCAGAGGTGTCGAATGCTCGGAATTCACCTCGCACGCGAGGTGAGGCTTTATTTTCAAGATCTCCTTCGCGAGATCGGCGTGGCCTAAAATGGCGGCCACGTGCAGAGGAGTTTCGGATAAATTGTTTAAAGAAACTCTGTCGAGAATCAAAGGATCTTGTTTTAGCAGAGTCTTCAGTAAATCGACGTTCCCGGTTGAAGCTGCTTCGAATATTTTTTTTTCGAGGTTCTCCATTTTTCTGGTGTTTGGGTTTTTGGTAGCTGGTGATTAATTTTGAGAATGCTATAAGTAGACCAATGTTTTTTTTTTTTTTTTTTTTAAGATATGGTCTACGGCAGACTTTTGGTAGAATAATGACCACATATGTCTCTTTCGGAGAGGTAGTTTTCCTGGAACAAAGCCATGTGAGGCAGTGCTACATTATAAGTTCAGAAGATTATTCTCCGTATGAAGGTCGAAAATGACTCGTGTGTTTTGTTCTCATATAATTCAAGTTCATATAAAATTGATCAACAATACAATAGAGAGACATAAACCTGTCCTCTTATGTCTCATCTATCTACTCCTATAGTCAAATAACCGATTAGTATTTTCCCTAATTACGTCTGTAAGTCGAATAAATATATCTGTCATCAGACCCTCTCCTCTCTGTATAATTTGGCAAGCTTTGTTTGAAACTTTCGTATGTCCACCTCAGCACGTTCTCTTACATTGGGATCGCTCGAATTCAATCTCTGCCTCCTGGATATTTATCCTTGAAGCTCTTTATCTACCAAAAAGCCCGTTTCAAGACAGTAAGTAATCTAGTAAAAGGGAAAAGAAGACAGAAATTACATAGAATACAAAATTAACTAAATTTTGGGACAGTAAAATGGGTAGGGAATAAAAAATTGTGATAAATTGCTAAACAATGTATCTAGAAAAGATGAATGGCCAAAAGTCCATGAGAAGATAAAACATGAAAAGGACTTTCCATGACTAGCATAAATTCAAATTAATTTGAAGAAAAACAAATACAGGGTTTTGGTAAAAAACCTCCTGAAGTTTTTGGCAGGAAAATATCTGGCTTCGGACTAACACCACCTTCTATAATTCCAATGCACATAGCGTTGTAAAAGTTGAACAAGGGATCCTGCAACATCACATAACCTTCTCTTTTACGATCTTCACAGTATTGAATCAGGAATTGCTTCACACTGCTTATGCTCTCCTGGCAGAAGCTGTACTAATTCACAGACAAAAGCCATTTACGAAACTCTAAAAAATAAAAGATCTCGTCTCATGTATTAATCAACTAAAAACCAAAGTTTGTTTGGCATACTCACTCGAACATATAGTACTCCCGATCCTCAGATAAAACATCACTATTATATCTCTCGAGCACTGCGTGACTGATTAGTCCTAGTCTGCCATGAACATCAAGCTTCAGCACATGAGCACCTACCCAATAAAAAATAAATAAAATAAACAATTAACGTATGAAAAGGCCACACCATATATATAAAAACAGAGAAAATCAAAATATTCTCAATCAAGCATTTCATCGAACACCATGAGCGCAGTTTAGGTCAATCCAAGTCCAAATATGTACAAACCATCACATTAACCAATTTAAACACACCATTTGCGTGTATAAATTCTCTGAGCGTCTGGCAGCAAGTGCAACTGTAAGGAGATGGCACGACGGGCCACGTCGGGATTCGTACAGGGTTCCCGAAAGCCCGACTCTGCTGTGCAAAATCAGTAAAATCTCCACTTTCACCACCGTCAAAATTTTCTCCCAGGTGGGCTCCGGTGCCATATTCTCCGGCAGGGTCCTCATCGGGATCTCGGAGCATGTTGCTCACAAAATCATCGAGTAAAGATTGGTTTTGGTGCTGGTCGTCGGGATTCCCGTCGAGAATCAGAAATTGTTCCGCACTTTCAACGGCGTCCATCGTCTGTTGATTGCTGGCGAAATTGGGATTTCGGTCCGCCATTTGTGGTGGGTTTTGTTCCGGCGGCGGCGGCAGATGTGACTGCGGCGGCGCCTAGCGTGGGCCAAGCGCAGCTGAAGGGAGTCTCGATTGAAGCTTTAGATTTGCTTGCCTAAGGAAATTGAAGAAGTGTGGAATTTTGAATTAGAACGTTTGGGGACACTTGGAAATGGAGAGATGATAAAGGGAGAAGACGCGAGTGAGGAGGCAGTTAACGACCGTTGTGAGGAACTATTAAGTTTATTAACTAAAATAACAAAAGAAATTCATTGGCGTAGCATTTGAAAGTTCGGGAAAAGTGGGCGGCCCATGACTATGGCCCAACTATTTTTGGAATGGAGTGGTGGGCTAAGATGGATGGGCTCATTTACAAATCAGCTAAATGTTTGGGAAATTTTCATGTATCCTACATGAAATTGAAAATTTTGCAAATCTAACATCCATTAAAAAGTAATTGTGTTTCTACCTAATTGTCAATATTTAATTACATTTATAGTTAAAATTCAGTTACCTAAAAAAGTGAACTCCATCCACTTTCTGTTACTATGATTTCCGTCGTTTCCATTAAAAAAAAATCATTCAGGTTACTTTTATGTAATAAAAAGATGTATTGTAACTCACGCAGCCGTCAGGTGGTATATCTTGCGTTTATGTTAGTATATATATTCAGTATATGTTGCAATGAAAAATATGTCTTCCATTAAAAAATTATGTGTTCCTTTTTTTTTTTTTTTTTTTTTTTTTTTTTTTTTTTTTTTTTTACTTTTATACATAAAAGTATATATATAGTTTATAAACATATTATAACATGTTACTCATATTCTCTATACAAAAAAAATCTTGTAAATATACATAAAATATACTAAACATATACGCACAACATACACCCGCAACATATACAAAATGAAAACTATCTATCAACGAATCAAGCACATCAAGTGTTCGATAATAAATCTTCTATTATACAGAACATATACTGAACATATACTCCATATATACACAATATATACCCGCAACATATACAAAACGAAAACTATCTATCAACGAATCAAGCACATCAAGTGTTACCATCATCACCCTTCTCGTCACCTCACACCCTAACGCTTCCTCGTAGTATCTCGATGCCGCCTCCGACTCTCCGCGCGGCCGCCGCCACTTTATCCACCCCATCACCACCAAATCCATGCCGCTTCCCCTGACAAAGAAAAGGGTCATGATGTTAAAACCCAAATATGCCTCCTCATCCTCCCCCTCCTCTGTGGATTTCTTATTGGCTATATAAAACTTCAAATCGTCGAAATCTTGTCATGTTCCTTGATTATTATTATTCTTCTTCTTCATAACTTGGTACTTGTTAGACACGTAACTTTCCAGTATCCGATTCAAAACCCCGCACGCTTTCGCGAATTTCTTCTCTTTCCCAATCTCGAGCCACCGTTGGATCTTCGAAACCCTCTCAGGAAGAATATGCCTACAAAAGACGGCCTCAAAAATATCGACCATAGCGTCGAGAAGCGGGGATTCGGGGAACCCATCCCGAAGGGAGGCCAAGTGGAACCCGGTGGTCAGCATCAAATGGCGTCCAACATGTACCTATTGAGCACGACCTTCAAGTCAATAACCTGATTGTTCAGTGCCGCGTGATTGAGGACCGGGACGAGGCCTTCCTCGATCGAGGACCGTGATCGCCGGTGACAGAGGGATCGAAGTTGGGCTTGGGGAAAAGATGGAGACGTGGACTGTGCGGTATTTTTTGCAGTGAGATAATGGTGGAAAATATGGAGATTGTGTAAATATGGTAGGGATATATCTTAATCTAAGTTAATGATCTAATCACAATTAAGAGCCCGAAATTTCCTTAAGTGACAATGCTAATATATCTGTAATATTTTTGCCTTCAAATAGCAATTTTATAAATAAATCTAATTGAGCTGTAAAAATGTTATATAAATAGTTTTGAATTGTAGAGGGTGCAAATTCCTCANCATCGACGGAGAGCGTAAAAAAAAAAAAACTCAGCAAAAAATTAAAGAACTTGGATAATACTGTAGGAAGATTACATACCCTTCAAAGGTTGCAACTACAGAAAGGTACTTGCGAACACTAACTTCCTACAATGGTCAATGAACATATTGAAGTAACAACATTACAAAACTGCCAAGAAACATAAAAATAACTTTGAATTAACAAAAAAATATTATAAAATTATCAATAAACATAAAAACAACTCTCAAAATAAATAGAACATCACATAAACCCACCCGACTTGTCAATTCTCGGTCGTTGTACGAACCGTCATGGCGCTCCACTGTCGGTTCCCTACGCTGGGAACACCTACCGACCCAATTTGCAGGATTAGATCTTTGAATCGGTCGAGAAGCCAATCCAGGTCGTTCGAGTCCTGTCGAAGCTCTTTTACACACCAAAATTCAAGTTTTTTTTTTTATTTTTTTTTTGTACTTTGTGGTACTGTTATGATTATTATTACCATAAGTTCAAGGTATATAAAAATTTGTATTATTCACTATATTCATATAAAAGTTGTCATTAACATATGGAAAATTTCATATGTACATTTTTTTTATTAAAATCTAAAAACTAAGCTAAAAAGTAATAAGTAATGTTAATGCAGCAATTCAATATTAATGGGATACATATTATTAAATTATTTTTTAGTTTAGTTGCTATTTTTATATAAAAAGTTATGTTGTTATTATTATTATTATTATTATTATTATCATTATTGTTATTATTATTATTATTGTTGTTGTGATNGATTTATTTATTTATATAAAAATAAAAAAAATTAAGTGGACATAAATAAAAAAAAAATAAAAGAAGTGGAAAAATATCAAAAGCACGTATTCTCAGAATACGTTTTTTTATTAACAACGTATTCTCAAAATACGTTTTTAAAGAAAAACGTATTCTGATAATACGTTTTCATTAAAAACAATTAATTAAGGTGATTAACGTAATTAAATTAATTAAAATAAGTTAAAAACGTATTACCGAAATACGTTTTTCGGAAAAAATATTTAAAATTAATATTTTGAATTTTAAAAAATTTAGTTTTTTGGAAAATAATATTTGGAAAAATAAAACGTATTCTCAAAATACGTTTTTTAACCAAATTTGCCCCAAATTGATTTCGCCCTAATTTTATCCCCAAATCGATTTTGACCTAATTTTACACAGTTGAAAAACGTATTCCCAAAATACGTTTTTTGACCTAATTTTGCCCCAAATTCATTTCGCCCTAATTTTATCCCCAAATCAATTTTGCCCTAATTTTTCACAGTACAAAAACGTATTTTGAAAATACGTTTTACTGTGCAAATACAGCAATTCACAAAAACAAAATTACAAAAACACACCTGTTAATCGATATCGATTCCACAACCAAATATAAATTCACAAAACCCATATCAACCATGTCAAAGAAACAATAATGAAGCACAATAATTCACTTTCCAAATATAAAAATCCAAACAAATTCAAATATAATTACACATAAATCCACGAAAGAAAAAAATAAATATATAGGTCTACAAAATGTCTCCGAATACAACACAACTAACTAGGAGTGTATCGATTCGTAGGGTTGCGCGGTCGGTTGCTAATCCGACGCTGTGGTGGTTGTCCAGAAGACGATGCTGTGGGCGTGGTAGGTTCTACTTCTTCTTCTACAGCTGAGTAATTCAGTTTTTTAAGAAATCAGAAATTTGACTTAACAAAAAATCACAAAACAAAAATAAAATTATATTTTTGTTAACTAAAAGATGTTTACCTTGTTCTTGTTGTTCCTCAGGCCCGGCGTCGGCAACTGGTTCGCGGTGACGTCGTCTTCTACCTCCACGAATATGGGGAGGAGGTTGATGCCTCGCTCGGTGTGACTGCGTCCTCTGGGGTTGGACGTAGCTCTCTTGTGATAAAACTTGGCTTGACGACGTCCCTTGACCGATCTCTCCGCCTCCGACAGTCAGAGATGTGTAGAGAAGGCTCTTGGCATATTGGATTGCCGCCTGCATCTCCGGATGGGCTGTATGATATAGATGCTCAACATTGGATAGCACGTTATAAGCCCCCTCCATGCCGCTAGCCTGAAAATTTAATTCAAAGTAATTTTTATGAAACGCAAAAAATAAAATAATAATAGAAAAAAAAAAAAACACACACACACACACAAATTATAAACACTTACATCGCACTTCCAATGCTCGGCAAGTGGCTGATAGCCTCCGTCCTGTTGTACCACCGGGTACTTAGCAGGGTCACTGATTAGTCTCACAGTCCTGCTGTGAAACCAATCAAGGTAGCCCTGGCCAGGCTGTACGAATGACTCCACACGCTCATCTGGGAGGACATTTTGGTGTCGTTCGACCCAAACATTCCCAAGCTGGGAATGAAAGTCCACCCAATCATATACCCCCCTCCCGGTCATTCCCTGGCCCCGGTGGTGTGTCTCCCAGTCGACCTCACCCGTAATGATCGGAGTGTCGGGGATGGACTGATGACACCCGAACTGACGGAGGACTCTACCCGGCTCGTGGGTTTCACAGATGTCCCAACAGAACATCCAGCCCCTATACATCCAGAGGCTTGAATGTTCTGTACACTGGCCCGGGAGAGCATTAGCATTCAGGAGGTCTTCATACGGCATCCAATCGAACTGTAAAAAACAAAAAAAAAATAATAATAATTTCGTAAGTTATTAAAAGATAAAACACATAAAACAAAAAATAAATAACAATCAATAATATTTAATCATAATCTTACATCCGTCTCTCTTAGCCCTGTCAGTTGATCCCGGACAGCGGCTGTTCCCGTTACTATGTGTTTCGTGTCCTTCCGTCCCACCCACCTTAAAAATCACAGAAAAAAAAAAACATCAGAAATTGTAATTAGAAAATTGATAATTGAAATAATAAAATTATAAAATATATAAATAAATATCATTACCTTCCACCTAAAGGACAACCAATGACTGTTTGAAATCTCGTAGCCTCCTTCATTCTCGGGCGAAGCCGAGGGATACGTTCCCATGCCCAAACCTAAAGATATAGCCATATTCATTTGTTATTAAATATTAGTCTAAATTTAAAAAAAAAAAATGAATTTTGAAATAACAATTAATTAAATGTACCTGAATCAATTGGACACAGCTCTTGATCCAGCCTTCTCCGGTCTTGTAGCTCGTGCACAGCGCTCTATACACTGCGGCCAGTAGCGCCGACCCCCAGCTGTACTCCTTGATCTTATCGATGTCGCGCAAGAGCTGGGTCCAGTACAAGTTGACTCCACAGGCCCTCTGATCGGGAAAGAAGAACGATCCAAGGCACCAGAGGATAAGCGCCCTCGCCCTCTCTTCGTAGGTCGATATATCCTCTCCATCTTGCAGCACTCTGTTGCATTCGTTTTCCAACCTCGAGTGCTTCAGATACTGGCCCACAATTCCCCAAGTTTTGGGGTTGGCTGTCGGGTCGTCTGCTGCCTGAGAGTGATTTATATATATTAAAAATCAAACAATGGATTATACATAAACAAACAAAAAATAAATAAAAAAAAAATTGTTAAAAAATTTACCTGGGGGTCGAAGCCTAGAAGGTCCACACACTCGTCTCGCCATTGCTGGTTTACCCAATCTACAGTCTCTCCCCAGCAAGGCTTTCCATCGACCGGGAGACCAAACAGGACTTGTACGTCCTGGAGCGTGATTGTGGCCTCCCCGAAATCAAAATGGAAGGTGTGCGTCTCCGGTCGCCACCTTTCGACCAGACAGGTAATTAGGCTGTTGTCGGTCTGGACTCTGCCCATCCGAAACAACGGCCCAAAACCCGTCCTATCGATCACCGCTAGAACCGCTGGATGTTGTCTGTCCAACACCTTCCAAAATTCAGTGTCGTTACGGCGGTTTTTAATGGTGCCGTTACGACATCCTTCTAAATCTTCATATACCGCTCTCGACCGGTGGCGGTACTGAAGGTATAGAAGGGAGCGATCAATCGGACCGGGGTGTACATTCAACCGTTGAGGTTGTGACGAGGACGATGATGCCATTTTCTACAAATAAATTAAATAAACAATAAATTCACAAATTCACAAATAAATTATAGTTGTGAGTAGATTCAATATCTTTATGTAATCATTTCCAGTTTTCCTCAAGGGACAGAACAGATAAATGGTTGCATTACTCTTCAATATCAACAAGTATACCAGATGTTCAAACTAAGAATCCTTGCACTTCACATAAATTACCATACCTATAAGTCACCTAGCAAACGACGAATTTCGTCTATCACTACAAAACAACAAAATTACTCATAAATCTAAAAACAATTAACGCAGCATATGAACATCAAACAAATTTCGTCTATCACGACGAATTTCGTCTATCACATATGAACATCAAACACTCCATCAACCACATCCAGAAACATTAACGCGAATCTAAAAACGCAGGATCACAAGCAATCGAAAAACAACAGCTCGCATGATGAACACAACGGCCAAAAAAAGCTCCAAAATACGAAAATGTATCTCAATCTACTCGCATAGAAAACAATTACAAAAGTCGATCAGCAAAATTCGAAATCCAAGCACGACGAAACTAAATCATCTCGAATCAGTACAATGAAAATATAACACAGAAATTCAAGGAACCGCAAACTTCACAAATTAGACCCAAACATACGCAGAAATTCAAAGATAAGCTATGCATATAAACAACAAATTCACAAATAAATTCACAAATTCACGAATAAATTCACAAATTGAAAACCCTAAATTTAGCCCTAATTTGAGATTA